CCAATGGTGAAGTAACCTGAGCAAAATGAAACCCTTGACAACTGAAACAATCCTCTGGCGTCGTTCGGCATAGGAGGGGTGTTTTTCACTTTCACTACAATTTTGCCAGTTCTTGTGGAATAACGTGATTCACTTGGTGGGACCCGTACACTCTTGCGAAACTGTGAATTGGTACGGGTGAACCACTTTACAGGATTTTACAAGTCTTTCTAAGTGGCTTGGACAAGCTTTCTTGAATAACTTTGCTGCCCCCACCAAGCCAAAGCCAAATCTTTAACCTCTCGAGAAAACATGTTTGAATTGTCTTCATAATTCAAAGCAAGGTGTCAGCTCGTAAGCGACAATGAGACATGCAATCAGATCAGGCCAAAAAGCACCTCTGCCGAATATGGTTCCGCTCTGACACATTCTTCGCTCATCACGCGCCCGTGCCCGCATCACGAGCTTTTTTTTCAATGGCAACTGTCATGCGTCACCTCATGATGGATCTTCGTTCACTTCTATTCGTGTACAGAAACCGGTTGGAGAATAAAGATATGAAGTTATGAAAGCATATTAAGGATTGACACAGGGCACACAACGGCCATGGAGTCTCCGAAAGGACACATCTCCTCTAAGAGAAACATAAGGGAGGGGCGTATTTTGCCGCTGGTGAGTCCTCATATGGCCTTGAGAAAAAATTCATATTATTGGTCTCATCCTTTCCAGAGCGCTATAGCCCTCCCTCTCAGCTATTGGTCAGCGCAGCAAAAACATTTCATATTAGAATTGATCGGTCGGAGGTCTCTACCCTAGGCCGCTCTCGACGAGGAAAAACAAGGGAAAATGCCGGTGAAAAGGATGGGTAGGTTGTTAAAGAGGCTGTACGGAAGGAGAAAATCCGAGGGGGGGGGGGGTGGGGCTGTCACACACAGAATGGTGAAAAAGCTTCACGAAATAATGATGTGCCCTGGGCTCTAACGCAGAAGGGGGAGTCATTTTCGATGTATGACTTCTTTTGCTGAGTGTCTGTATCAGCCGCACTACAGCGGAAGACGGACAAGAGAATAGAAATTTGCCGCGCCAGTCGCGCGCGGCGCTCCGTCTGGCGACGAGTGCAGGAAATCCACGAGGCAATGGGTGCGCGAAATTATTAGGTTGTCCGGAAAGTTCTCAGTTTGGGTGTTTCACTTTAAACGATCGTAACTTTTTTAATACTCATCGGATTTAATCGAAATAGGCACCATTCGAATCAGCACACTTTTGCCAATGTGACAGCAGTCGAGAAATCCCATCAAAGTAAAAAAAAAGTGGTCGAAAATTCACGAAATCCACTAAGGCTTTTTTGCCTGGTCCTGATTGATGAAGTATTTTCCAGCAAGGGAGTTCTGAAAATGTTGAAAAGGTGATAGTCGGTTGGCGAAAGGTCTGAAGAATATGGCGGTTGAGGTAGAACTTCAACCCCCAATTCGTTCAATTTATGGATAGTGATTTGTGAAACGTGTGGGCGGGCGTTGTCATGCAAAAGAATCGGACCCTTTCTTTTGATAAGTGTTGGCTGCATCTGACAAAATTTTCGGTACAATTCGTCGATTTCTTCACAGTAGGGTTCTGCTGTGATGGTTTGGCCTGGTAAAAAGTTATAGTGGATCACACCAGCCGATGACCACCAAGCCGTGACCAGAATCTTTTTTTCGTGAGGGTTCGGCTTTGAAAATTACCTCGGTGGTTCGTCGAAATCCAACCACTGTCCGGAACGTCTCCTGTTATCATACATGACCCATTTTTCATCACAGGTGACAATTCGGCCCAAAAACAGGTCGTTTCTGCTGCGCAAAAGCAATGCAGAAGGAACCTCGAGACGTGCCGATTCCTGCCGGTCACTCCGATTGTGGGGCACCCAATTGTCGAGTTTTTTCACCTTCCCAATGCGTTCCAGACCATCTGCAACAGTGGATTTGCCAAGGCCTAGCTCTTCTGCTATCTCTCGAACTGTTTGGGATGGGTCAGCCTCCAAAATCCCCCTAAAATCCTCGTCAGATATTGCTTTAGGTCGACCGCTATGAGGTTCATCTTCAAGGCTGAAATCTCCAGAACGAAATTTGTTGAGCCATTGCCGCACAGTGCTTTCTCTAGCACTATTGGGCCCCCACACCTGGTTAATTTGTTGAGCTGTTTCGATTGCGGATTGCCCCAATTTATAGTCGAAGAAAAAAATCGTCCGAAGTGCTCTTTTCACATGCTTGAAAAAATCTTGAAAAAAGGGGGTTTATCAAGCAATGGTGAAACGGCAATTATACCATCAGATAGCGCAAGAAATTCTCTACAGGATGTGCTACTGAGAAGCAAGGCAGAATGAGTTTTTAATCAGCAGTGAATGTACAAAAAATAGGTGCACAAAACGCTGAGAACTTTCCGGACAAATGGCTAAGCGGGAGAATTGGTCTCTAGCGGCACGGCGTCGCTCGCCATCACTGCCGCTACACTTCTAACGCTAACGCCTTGTGAGCTACTAGCATCCCGCCAACCCAACCCAAGCACCTAATCTAAGAATTTCGTGTGACAGCACAGAAACACTGGATTGCACAACTGCTGGCCAATTCCAGAACAGTTTGAACTCAATGCTTTGACGGCATCCATTCTCTGGTCCCATTCTTGTCTTTTCTTTGCCTCAAACCCCACATTTCAGCTTCATGCATGATAAAAGCTCACAACTTGGGACCTCCCTGAAAAAAGCAATCCACGGTCTCACTACATGTTCTTCGGGCCTGTCGTTATTCTGCCAGCCGCTGTCATTCATTTCTCTGCGCTCTGGTCTTTCACGGTGGAACCACTACGCAAAGTTCAAATAATCACGTCATCGTCAGTCACGTAATTGCAAGTCATTGTGAGGGCAATTGCAATGAAATAGCACCACGATCCTGTAACGAAGTGGACAGCAAGGCAAATTCCAAAACCAGCCATCAATTAAAGTTTCATCTCTTGCCGCCCAAACGACGAAAGTATTAGATTGCAAATTTTCTAATCGAGAAAAATCTATCATAATGACGGAAGCAAGGTAATGAATTAAAATAACTAACATAACTTCAAAAAAGTTAGACCATAATAAACAATAAAAGGGAGGGGGGGGAGGGTGGTTGCAAAATCACTGTAATATCCGAAATAATAATAGAACTACGACCAACCTTTACGAATTCAGGATCCTTATCAAAGTGAGCGAAACGCATTTGTATAGTTTGCTCGATCTGAAAAAAATCAAAATAAGTTAAAAAGAACCCATTTTGCTAGACAGGTAGTAAACTAAATTCCTTATGTGCTGGGATTATCCAGTTACCCTCAAAACTAAGCTTAAATCCGATGTGACTCGATCGCACTCTTACTACGAAATTGGCTCTTGTAAAGTACATCCTCTTACAGCGACAAGACTACTAGACAGTACCATGTTGGCCAACTCAGAGTGAAACACTAACATAGCGCACCACAGGTTGGACAAAAAAAAACCGGAGCGGGTCGCATTTTCGTCGATGAGGAAGGGGGTCTTATGTTTTCATACTTTTTTTTCCAGTTTCACGCTATATATCCCCCTTTTTACGCTGTACAGAAGGCGAAAATTTAGGGGAGCGATCGTATCTATCCGAAATTTTACACGCACTGTCCCCCTCATTGAAGAGGGAAATTTTTCTGCAAAACGCTGATGTGCATCTAAAATTTTCCATCTCACGTCTTATGAAGGGAAAACTGGGTGAAAAGAAAATTCAGCTACTAGAATTGAGAATGACAAGAGGCCCGCAAAAAAACGTTATTGGAAACAACACGCCACTAGCGATATGAGCGATAAGCACCTGGCGAAAGGGTCTTCAAAGAAATTAAAATGAAAAAGAAAAGAATAAAACGTGAAAAAAAGAAAGAGGTAGCCTCACCCTCGTAGTATCTTTGCGATTCTCGACAGCATTCTTCAGCTGCATTTCAAGTTGCCGGAACTCTTTTGCAACCTGAAAACAATTATTCAAGCTGCTTATTTGACCAAAAAACCCTACAATAAACAATGGAAGGATGGAAAACTATGGTTAAAAAAACAATGGCTAGTAGTCAATTACAAGTTCGAGACGTCATGCCACCTCTAGTAGTAGAATTTTTGAAAGCAAAAAAAAAAGAAAAAAAAAGAAAAAGAAAGAAGGGTGCAGTTTGAAGGTGTGTTGCCTTTCGCTGTTTCCTATTGACGTGTCGATAGATCTACGAAACTATGAAGTGATAGTGATTCAAAGTTTTCAGGAATTACATGACAACTCATGTAAAGAATACCTGTCAACTCTTGTCAAGCAATAAATATGACAATGAGAAGCAGTGAAAAAGTAGAATGCCCCAACCCCTCATCGCACAACTGAGCCGAAAGAAAATTAAAAGAATAGTAGTAGTAGGATTTTTGAAAGCTAAAAAAAGAAGAAAAAAAAGGAAAAGAAAGAAGGGTGCAGTTTGAAGGTGTGTTGCACTTTCGCTGTTTCCTATTGACGTGTCGATAGATCTACGAAACTATGAAGTGATAGTGATTCAAAGTTTTCAGGAATTACATGACAACTCATGTAAAGAATACCTGTCAACTCTTGTCAAGCAATAAATATGACAATGAGAAGCAGTGAAAAAGTAGAATGCCCCAACCCCCTCATCGCACAACTGAGCCGAAAGAAAATTAAAAGAATAAAAGTAGTTACTATAAATTAACCAGAACAAACTGAAGCAAAAGCTGAACATTCCAACCTCATTCAGTGTTCTATAACATTCCAAATACTCCGGGTACTCCTGTTGGAAAAGTGCGAAGTATTTTTCTGCTTCATGTACATTTTTAATCTAAAAAATTAAATACAAGTTGCATAAATAGTATGATGACACAAAAGGAGCAGCGGGAGAAAAACTTACCTCCCCATAATTTTTATCCCAATCACAGGAAGGCTGAGTAGGTGACGATAAACTACAAGGGGAGCTAAGACGAGACGATGCCGTACTACCGCCCGAACGAGCAGCTAACTTCTGAAAAGAGCACTTGTAGAAAAAGAATACCGGAAAAACATTCTACAACAAAAGCAACTGCGAAAAACCTTCGAGGCAGTAAGCACGATGGCTGGGGGCGGGCGATTGCTGCCAACGTCATTGGTGGAAGTGCTGAATGGGACGTGGCCAAACGCCTTCTGACAGCCCTTCTCTGGCAGCCCTTCCACCAATGACGATGCACCCATCTTGCCCAGCTGCCCGCAGCCGCCGTGCCCGCTGCCTTTAAAGCAACACTGGCGCCAACCTGATTATGTTGCGGGTGGTTAGTAGGATCTTCTGGTGGACTAGCACTTTCCTGACGCGGTCGTTTGCCATCACTTGGTCGCTGCTGCGCCGTTACCGGAACATGAGCCTTACGCTTATTTGCCGATGGCACTTCAGGTTGGTGAGGACTCCGATGGACACTGAAACACAAGATATTATGTGTAAAGACAATGCAAGAGGGTTTATTAGGATCCAAATATTCCAGCACCAAAATTCTTTTCTGTTCAACGGCAGGAACTGCAAAAGGCTGTGTTTATACTTTTCATCACCATTTGGAGCGTACGGCAGCGCTTCAAGCGACTAGGAAAGTGTAGGTATCGATTTGATGTTTTGAGCATTTTCATGGGCTTTTGGCGGGCAGTCACTGAAGACGCTGGCGCGCGGTAAAA